TCCTGTCATTTCCTGTCTTTTAGGCTCCCACAGTTGGCACGAGGTACAAAAGGTTATTAAGGATGGAAAACTAAAGCGAAGTGCAGGGGGAAAAAAACACATACACACACAAATCACTCCCCCTCCCTCTCACTCATTCCTGTGGATAAAGTTGCAGGGTTTTAGAGGCTTGCGAAGCATATCCACCGGCACACCTGCCCTGCTTGTTTACTGCTAACCTACGGATTTCACACACCAGAAATTTCCCTGATATTCAACCCAGCTAAGCAAGCATGAGTCCATGAAAGCGTTTGACCTCTGACAGAATCTTTGCATATGTTACATGGGCAAATAATAAACAATGTGATTTGCCATTGTAAGAGAAGCTTGTGAATATTAGTATGCATTTTCCCCTCAGTGCTAGGGTAGTCTCTTCTATTCCAGTTTAATATGCAATTATAAGTAAGCCATTTAAAGGCTGACTTCCACTATGGCTGTTTGATTGAATGACCCGACATGTCAACTTCTGATTGAACCAATGGCATGTTTGAGGTTGAACTAACTGTCAGAACAGGGACATATAAGCCAACCCTGAAGTTAGCATCACCCTGGTTCCCTTGACAAAAAGCCAGTAAGATTTTTCCATTGACTTTTGGATTACTAAAGAAAAAAAGCTTTGTGAGTTTATGATTCTTAAACATTTTGTTAATCAAGATAATCTTCATAAATGAACACACATTTTTTGGCTTTTGAAACCCAAATATAATCGGAAGTAGAGAAAAGCTGATGCTAGGCTATAAACAAACTCCAACATGGTCACATGACTTTAACGTCACCCCCATTCAGCTTCCAAAAACTCTTTCAGTTTTTAATATCTACAAGTTTTATAGGAGAAGTTTAAATAGCTAGCAAATGTGCAAGTATAAATGCAATATTACTGTAAAATACTGTAAAAACAAGCAAACATTAGTGAGTAGATGAGTTTTCCTGTTTGGTGTGATAACATTTAATGTCCCTTATAACCTCTTTAGTCCCATTTAGCCACTTGTTAGTCACAGCCTTTTTCAAGACACTTTAAAGCTTAAAAAACATGAGTGGGATATTGTTGATGTATTTTATGTCATAGAAGAAAGTGTGAAAATATCTTGAGCTTGTGTTAACCATATACCTTATTACTGGCATTTAACAAAAACAAAAAAAAAGTTAAACAAAAAAATGCATCTCTGTTTTATGACTCACTCCTGCATTTATGTTTTTAGGACGCATTTGCACAAAAACACTTCCTCCTTAAAGGACAGGACAGATACATTTTGTGGCAGTGTGCCATACCTTGTAATGTAGGAAAAAAAATGCTGTGGTCTTAATGCCAACATGACCTTGCACGCATATGCTCACACAGAGGTGGGAATGCAGTGATTTAGTGTTGTAAATCCAGGTCATCCCCATGAGTGAGCTTTGAGCTCTGGAATACTCAAATCAAAAAGAATGTTTTGAAAGAGACATTATCTGCCAGGGATTTGTCTCTTTATTCTTGTTCATTCTCTCTCTCTCTCTCTCTCTCTCTTCGTGACCCACACTCTAAATGGAGTTAGTACACCGAATAGAGCGGAGGTCTGAAAGCTCAGTGTTAGTAATCTCAGTCACTCTCAGATAGGAATTTCCTACCATCAGCTGCCCCATTTCCAGGGGCCTTTGGTTGCTAAATGTGGAGACTGAGCTGAAGCCACTCGACAAGACTGATGGGATTTATTCAGATGATATCTGCTTTATCCGCCAATGAGTTTGAGAGGTCCTAGTTTGAGAAATGCCTGGAGGCATCATCATTTAATTTACTCTACATTTACAGAACACATACTGTACACTCACAAAGACACAAAACTTTATTGTTGTTGTTTTTTTAGTGTTTTATTTTATTTTATTTTTTAACCTCTGTTTATTTTATTTAGTTTTACTTAGCATGACATGACAATAATAATCTTCATATTGGCCAGAATTTTAATACTGGTGCATCCCTATTAGTTACCGCTGTTGCTTGTGTCATCTCCATTTGTGAACTCTGATTAAAAATGTATTACTTTAGGTTACTTTTTAGCTACAAAACACAAATTAATAATAGACTAACCTGAAATCTCTCAGCATTTGCATGTTTTTGACTTATCTGAGCACATATTTGTGTGTGCGAGTGTGGCAGAGTGTCTATTTGATAGGCTCTATTGAGTGTTCTGCAGGAGGTTAATGGTGTAAGGCTAATGTGAGGCTCTTTCTGAGAGACACAAACCCAGCAAAGACTTCTTTCTCAACCTCAAGTGTTGCCCTTCTCTCTTTGTCTCTCCGCTTTGAAATGGCTGCCATTCACAAACACAGTATGTGTTAGAATGGGGAGGACGGTTAGGGTGCATTTGGGAACGTTGCCCAGGTCTGCCCACAGTAGTGCATGTCTTTGTGTGTGCGCTCATTTATCTATGTAGTTGTGGCATAGACTGTTTTGTGCTTGTTAGTGGGCATTGAGAGTGTTTTGTATGTACATTCATCTGTGCTTAAGAGAGGTACATATGCGTTTCTGTATGTGTGTGCGCTTTAACATGTGTGCGAGACCCTTAATTAGGAATGTGGCGTCTCGGTCTCAGATACGAGGTGTTGCATTCCTGCCTGCTAATCGATACCTCTTCTAAAGTCCATCAATGGCCTTCCGTCTAAGCAAGGGAGAGTTCAAGAGAGCCAGAAAGAGAAAATAGAGCTTCTTTTTTCTCCCAAGCAAAAGTGTTTTAGAGGAAAGGGCAGAGTGTCATTTGCCCAGACACTTGGATGCTCTTTTTTTTTTGCTGGTTTCTTTCTGATTTTATCCTTTCCTTTTCTCCAGAGGCAGTGTGGTGGCACTATCATTATATGCAAGATTTCACTATGTGTTTACTGTAGGAGTTCAGTGGTTAGCAGTGGCTATTTTAGCAGAGGGTCACAAGCTTGTGCTCAGCGAGACATGCTCGAGCTGTAAGTACCTCAGACTACGCAGACAGATCAAATAATGAAATCTTTGGGCAAAATTCATTTGCTTTCTCAGAAACAATGAGGGTAAACATCATCTGACGGCTAATGAAATGAGATTCCTGCAAACAGGACACGATTCATCCCAGTCCCCACTAGGCTACTTAACTAGCATTCCTGAGTCCACTAACTTGATCTGGAAAGCAATGTTGGCTGACCAAACTATACCATACACTATTAAAAATAAAGGTTCTTTATTGGCATAGATGGTTCCATGAAGAACCTTCAACATCCATGGGACCTTTCTATTGCATTCTATAGTGGAAAAATGTTCTTAGATTATAAAAATGTTCTTGACACTAAGAAAAAAATGGTTCTTTTAAGATATGTTCACAGAAAGGTTCCAAAATGGTTCTTCTATGGCATCACTGTGCAAACCTCTTTTTCATGGAACCTTTTTAAGAGTGTAAACCAGTCTAAACCAGTATGAAAATACATGGTTTGTTTGGTTATTCTGTCTTTCGTTCCTTAGTTTGATGATTCTTTCTTTCTTCACATTTGCTCTGGCATCTCCCAGCTTCAACGGTCTTGTTTTTCTTTTTCCAAAAATGGCTGAACTGTAATTTTCGTTGGCCACGCTTAGCCCGCAATGCAGTAGACCACTGTTTTTTTTTGCCGGGGAAGAAATGGATTGTGGGTACGAACACGGGCGTCTTTTTAGCAGCATGTTCTTAAGGTCCATCCAGCAGCTGTACACCTCAGCATTACACACATATGCTCGTGCGTAATGATATATAGGGGATGGAGGTTCATTTTAGCTGAGAGATATGCTTTAGCTCAGTATACATCCAGTGTATGCAATATATATTCATGAAATTGTATTCAGTTGAGGAGAAAGTAAGAGTCATATCTGCGTATTCTGAACACCAAAACTTCTGGGAGACACTTAAAAGCTGCCTAACTTTGATTAATTCAGAATGTCAGCTAACTGACAACTAAATGTAGCCTAACAGTGAAAAAAGTTCCTGTTAATTCCTATAAAACATGTCCCTGTTTAAAAATCCCTATTTACTGTCCTTTTCCATTCCAGTCAAGTTCTTGGTCTATAAATGTAGCTTTGCCTTTAATATAATGTTTTAAAGTGTAGAGATTTTGATGACTGCCCGCATTCAGAGTTTATTTTCATTCCCATGTATGACTGCAAAAGCAAAGGTTTGCAGCCTAGCACAGTTTTGACCAGGAGCAGGAGGCGTGTTGCGGCTGGGCTATTTCTGCTGCCTGCATGTGTGCCATTGATGGCTTCTGGTTTCGGAAATCCTTTTTCTGCACGGTCGGCAGGCGTCTCTCGTGTGGCCGGGGCTGGCAACGTCTGCCGTGCTCTTTGACCCATCTAATGTACAATTATCTACAATTATACTGACGGAGAAACACAAGTCTTCTTATTATCTGCAATCGAGACGCTCTTTTCAGAAACGTGTGCTCATATGCATTGTTGTTCGATCTCTGTCTGCCTGTTTATACTCTCTTCACTGGGTTCGGCACTTGAATTCACTTCCAATTGGATTTCTGTTGTGCTCAGATCTTATTTTCCTGTAATGTAAAGCCCTTGAGAGAAATCTTCTAAAAGCCACCAAAGAAGAACCCACACCCAGAACAGATTGAAGTAAATGCAGTGGCGGTTGCATTGACATTTCACTCATCATTTCAGTGCTTGAAGGTGTTTATTATCAGCATTGTGTGTTTGGTTGAAGGTAGTTTGTGAGGTTTGTGTTGTCTGTTTTCAGGCAGTGTGAGTACGTGTTTAAAGTGTGGTTGTTTGTTCAGCTTTAAAACAGTCCTGACACAAGCACAGCGCCCTTTCTGCAGTTCTTTGCAGCTGAATCTGTGGTATTTAACGTTTGTGTGTGTGTGTTTATTTCACAATATTGCACCCAGAAGCTAAATAAATCTGACAAAACCCCTTTTGAGAATGTCTGGGTACAAGATTGTTAAGATGCTAAGTTTTAATGTGGTTACTAATTGTGTTCATGTTTTTGCAGGTCTGGTCACCACCACGTCTCGGAAGCTGGACAGAGAACAACAGGAGGAACACATTCTAGAGGTAAAAACACCTGGATACATCCACTGACCACAACACTCCTTAGAGCAGACAATCCTAGAAACTCATATTTAGAGAAGTCCTAAAAAGTCCATCTTTGAATGAAAACAAAAGTTTCATCTGGTTTTTTTTTTCTTCTTAAGGAATATTCTGGGTTAAAGTTAAGCTATTTGTATAGCTTCTGTGGTACTTTCCTTTCTTTCACCAAAAGAAAGAGAGAGAAAAAGAAAGGAAATGCATTATATTAAATTATATTTTTAAACCTAAAAACAACTAAATATGCTACCATTCAAAAGTTTGGGGTCTGTAATAGGGCTGGGCGATACAGCTAAAAAAATGTATCAATGATATAATGTTTCATATCGTTCGGTATCGATAATTATTGACATTTTTATAACGTATTTTAAACCAAAAAGTTTAACCACTGTATTTATAATTAACAATTTATTGAGACAAACAACAAATATTTTTTGTTTTAACAATCGAAACACAATAAAAATTAAACAAATATCAAATTTCTCATGTTTTATATGCAAATTAAATAGGTCTTTATTGTATAGGTCGAATTGTCTCCCGAGGCCACAGGAGGGCCAATGGGCAAAATAATGCAGCACATTTAGCAAGTAACTCTATAAAAACGTGCATTACGTCTAAATTAACTCATAAAAATCAAATATAATTTCGTAAATTGCATAAACAATTATGAACAAAACAGCATCATGTATTTATGCATTGCTTATTTCAAAGAGCCGAAGCGCCATTCACACAGACTGCATTTAAAAACATATGAGACGCAGTGAAAAGGAATAAACCTCCACAAATTCGTGACGTGTTTTCTAAAAGTTTAAACTGTTTTAACTTTGCATGGCTTTCTATACATCTCTTCTGTGAGACGTGAGTGCAGCAGTCATATTTGTCCATCTAAAAATGCTATAAATGAATATGCGTTCTGTGTGAATGGTTTGGTTTTGGTTTTAACCCATTCAAGATCTTCTCCGCATTGAGCTTCTATATTTCTCTAATATTTTGAATGCATAACAGCAGCAGCGCATCTCGTGGGTTAGACTAACAAAACGTTAAAATGCAACAACGTCACTTACATCATCACCGCATCTCGTGCTCCACTGATGACGCTCCCTGACGCACTCCTAACATTCAGATGCAAATGTTTCTTTTAAATTCGACTAATATTCATTCTTTATTCACAATCTCCTCATCACAGGCAGGCACAGCACTCATTTCAACATGTGTTCGTGTTTGTGTGTGCTGTCTGTGTCACTCATAGCACGTGCCTATATCGTGCGCTATATCGAACATTTTTTCTATCGATATCGAAGAAGTCGATAAATACCGATACCGTTTACCGTTTAAGATGTTTTAATGTTTTTGAAAGAAGCCTCTTATAACAACCAAGACTGCATTCATTTGATCAAAAATACAGTTGAAACATTAATATTAAGTAATATTGCAATTTAAAACAACTTTTTTTTCTGTTTTAATGTAATTTTACATGTAATTTATTCCTGTGATGACAAAGCTGAATATTCAGCAGCCATTACTCCAGTCATCAGTGTCACATGATTCTTCAGAAATCATTCTAAATATGCTGATTTGGGGCTTGGGAAACATTTCTTAATATTATCAGTGTTGAAAACAGTTCTGCTGCTTAATGTATTTGTGGAAACTGTGATATATTTTTTTCAGGAATCATGAACGAGTAGAAGTTTCAAAAGAACAACATTTGAAATATATTTTTTTTCTGTCACTTTTATTCAGTTTAATGCATCCTTGCTGAATAAAAGTGTTATTTCTTTAAAAATTCTTACTGACCCCAAACTTTTGAACTGTACCACATATTAAAATATAATGTAATTTGAATTTTCTGGTTGAACTTTAACATAGAATGTATTTTAAAGAGAACTCCTTGGGAGAAAAGTAAAAAAGGAGGAAAACAGATGAGTAAACAACTTTTAGCCTTGACTGTTTAGACCCAAGGCACAGGCCACCAAACTAAACCGTGCACGTAAGCGGACTGCATTCTTCCCTCTCCATTCCTTCCAAAGTGCTTCTGAGGGGATTTAGATATCCGGTGTGTGTGGAGGGTAGGTGTGTGTGTATATGCATGTGGGGGTTTGCCTTTGTTCTCTCTCAGTGTACCGTCTCGGGATTAGACAGGCCAGAACAGGAAGTGTCACCCTGCCCAGCTAAAGTTTATACTTGTGGATTTTAATTGAGCTACAAGCTTCTATCACCTTCTCTCTCTCCCTCTCTTTCTCAATAACTCTTTACCAACCGCTCCCTTCCTTCACCAAAAACCCAACCTCAGTTTGCTGATATTTCAAGTAGTGCACAGATTGATGCTCTTTTAATTATTGTTATAGATGCAAATTCAGTTCAAACCCTGTGGCATCTCATTAAATTTGGCAAATTTGCACCAGCACTTACAAGTTCTTTTATGCCTATTTTTGTGCCCCAGAATTGTATTGTAAATGACAGGAGGGATGCGGACAGGAAATAAAACCAGGGAGGATGGTACACCTTGCAGCATACGCTTATCCAGTGTCTGTCCTCCCTTCTTCTCTCCATGCCTCAGTGATGTGAGGAGCTCCTCTTGACTTCAAAGCAAAGCCTGCTGACCGATAGACAGTAGGCTTGTAATTAGCTAATGCCAACAATTCAGCTAAATATTAGTAGTGCCAAGATCCCCTCAAGGTTAAATCTGTTCCTCTGGTTTTTAATTAACTAAGCTTTTTTTTTTTTTAACTGTTGAGATTGGAGTTTGGTGGTGCGTGTAGTTTCATTCAACTTGGATGCCATATATTAGCTGTCTTAAGCATAAAGAGCTGTAAGGAATGCTTTTCACCTGACATTGTCTTTTACCCTTTTAATTGCACTTTTAAATAGAAAAGCGACACTGCATAAATTGGTAGCCAGCCCTGACTTTAAACCACATTTATTGTCTCCATGGGTTTATGCACCTTGTTTTTAACACAAGAAGCCTTGCACACTGTAACCTAAATTTGCTTGAAATTGTCATTCGCTTCCAGTTATTTTACCTGTACAAATCCAGTCCGTTATGCTGCTTGATAGCATGATGTTTAAAGAGGTCATATGACAATGCTAAAAATAACATTATTTGGTGTATTTGGTGTAATGCAATGTGTTTTAGCTGCTGTAGGTAAATAACTAAAAAGTTAACAGTGCTGTAAACTCTAAAACTATTTGTGCAACAAACCAGTGCATTCATGAAAATATGATAGCACTTTCCACAGCATAAGTAAATGACACTGGAAGCCTTGCTTGTTCAAGTTAAAAATGACCATGTCTGCTCTTACGTAAAAATTAAGATAGATAAGCTTAGTTAGCAGGCTAATAAAAAAAGGTTAGTGATATGCTATGCTAGTGTATTAAGTAACTAGCCTATAAAATATAAGACACAAAAGAACATTTATGAACAGTGTTTTTTCAAAATCTATAGTTTTGCTTTCTATACTATTGTGTAATAAAAAATATTAATGGTCATGATAACAGTTCAGACGGCATGCACCATGAAGCGATTTTGCAGTCAGTCAGTGAATAGACTACCCATTAAAAATTATTTTTGCCAATAGAATCGCTTTGAGGTCCTAGACGAACTCAACAGGCACGCTGAATTGTTCATTACAGCGGCCCTAAATTTATCCATGTATCATTGCCACTAAAATAATATGAAAATAAATTTAAAAACTCAGCAGACTGACTAGTTGGTCAGATATCTAGTCCATGAAAACAGAAAAATAATACTCTGAATTGTGGATACATTTCTCACAACCTGTTTGAAGCCTGTTTGTCTTCTTCTGTTTAAACACCTTCTGGGACTGTTATGATCTCATGCTTAATTTGATTACCGCGCTGCTTTAGACCGGCTGAGGGAAAGACTAATAAACAAATGACCATCAGTCCAGTCACTGTTCACACGCATTCTTCTGGATCCTGTTTCTCCATGTTTTTTTCCCGCACGGCTCCGGTGGCCCACTGTAGTAGTCATGACAACCCCAGCAATTTGCGTTTTTGGCCGGTGTTTAGTCAGGGGTCCAGCAACAGGAAGTTCTTTATTGACATCTTCCCTCCAGGGGTCTTGTCTCACCCATCCTCCCGCCCAGGAGTCTGGCTGTCTCTCTCCCAGGGGCAGTTCAATCCTGCTGGGCACAGCACCGCAGGAGACAGGGGAATGAGCTGGTGCTCAGGGGCTCGCTGAGGTTAGTTGGAGGCAGCACATGCTTGGGGGGGAGGGAGAGGCAGTTATACGGGGCCAGGGTGAGGGCATTTGAGTGTGTATGTGTATGTGTATGTGTGTGAGAGATATATGGGAGAGTGCCCTGCAAACATTCACACACACTTAAGAGCTGGGAAGGAAGGTGTAAGGTGCAAATGCTCCAAGAGGGGGAAGGGAGGGCAATTCGAGAAAATAAAGAACAGAGAGAGAGAGAGCTACTCTGGAACATGTTGAGGCATGCACATCACGTCAGAGAGTCTGCCCCGTTGCTCTTTGAACTTAACCAAACCAAACAGTAAAATATGCCCACGATTCACTTAAGTTGATTTGCAAAGAAATTAAATTTATTTCTGGGAATACATCCTGAGCGTCTGAAGATGTAGGGCGTTGCTTTGCCTGTTTTCCAGGCATGTGAAATGTGTTACTGCTGTGGCCGCACCAAAAGCTCAAAACACATTTCTAATGTTTAAAATGCTTGTACCTATTAGTGGTGATTTATTCTACTGACACTTTTGAATCTCACCTAAAAGATTTTGTCAGATTTGGTCACTCAATTCATTGACATTTCATTCATTAATTTACAAATCTCTTTTTGCAGATTACATTGTTACAGCACTATGTAGAGACATTTTTAGTATGTGTGTTATGAGTGAGTCATTGAATCATTCAACCAACACATTTTGTTTTTCGTAACTCTGAACAACAAACTATACATCCCCTTCTGTTTGTTCAATCAGTTAGCAGAACCTCTTTCACAAATATGGTTGGTTTGGTTTTTTTTTAATGAATGACATGGTAAGACATTCAGATTCTACGTTAAGAGTCAGTGCATAGAAATCAATGAGAATTGTCAGCCTAAAAGATTTTTTCAAAAGCACAAATTTGTTCATAATTGAAACATTACTATTGCTCATACTTGCAGGATTTGTAACCTATCATGCTACGAATGTGATTAATAGCATCATGGTAGCTCAAACAGTAGTGCATGGAGCTAACAACACCAAAATCATGGGTTTGCTTCCCATGGAAAGCATGAGGAAAATTTGTAAGCTACTTTAAAGCCAAATGCATAAATGTAATGTAAGACTACAAATCTTACTTTTTGTTGAGGAGAGATGTGCTGTAACTAAGCAGTCAAGCTTGATTTTCACCCTGTGGACAATTTGACTCAGGCAGTCACCACATAAAATTTAAAAATGTAGTTATATAATTGATGTTCAAAGCAGACATGGTATTTTTATTGAACTGGAAATTTAATTTCAACTGTCTGAATTCTTTCCAGTTGCTGGAAGAGGTTTTTTAAAAAAAGCAGTGCATTGCAGGCATACAAACACACGCTCGACTCAGGAGAGTGGACTGTTGGAGCTGACCGAGTCCCTTGTCTTCCTGTTCAATTAAATCAGTTTGGCCAACAGTTGGATGGCACTGGACAGCTTTGAAAACAAATACACATTATAGGTCTACTTGCTGTTCACACCAAAAGCTGGACTGCTTTTACAGAGTGTTGAACAGATGCTTTTAAATGTCTGTGCTGGCCTGCTTTTTTATCTGCTTCTGCCATAGACTGCAGTAGTTTTGTATTTTGCATTCAAAGCTAACAAAGTCTGCTGAGTTAATTGGCAAGAAATAGTGTGTATGTCTACATCTCTGTATGTGTTTGCATTCATCAGCTTATGCACCAGCATACCATTAAGCCGCCTCAAACGAGCATTTTCTGAGATTAACTGAAGATATCCAGAGGAAATTAATGAGCTGGTTAACGGATACCAGCTGAGATTGGACATGGCGTTCTAAGCATGAGTATATGCTCAACAAACCACCAGCGTCTGCTTAATGCTGCCGTCTCTGCTTGTTTGGAGCAGCTCCTGTACATATAACTGTTCATATTGTTGACAAAAGTGTTTTGCTATTAAAACTGGTGTGCATTTTTGTAAACTTTTGATCTGTACTTTTTTGGCTCTACAGTGTGCTTACAACACAACTGAGCTAAACTGATCTACCGTCTTTTTAAATAATGTGTGAAGTAATCATTCCTAGGTCTGGAAACAACACAGTCAGATTAGACGATTGGAGTAGCTTTGAGAAAAATCAAAATCAAGTTTATTTTGAGGCTATATAACCTGTCTGGCTATCGCATTCATGATGATATTTTTCATCAGATGTCATAAAAGAGAAATTATCTAGAAAAAACGTCATTCCGCAATCATACAGAAAAATGCATAACAGTCTGTTCTCACCCCCGGAAACCCTTGCCGCATGTCTCTGAAAAGATTGCTTGACAGCTAAGTGCATGGGGAATTACTTCAATTTTGTCAGCCAATTGACTTAGATAGGAACACTTGCCCCCGTGTTCTGAACAGGAGATTTTTCTTTACCTCTGAACGGCGATTGATTGAAGCTCTCTCTATAATGAAGGTTTTCAATCACTTGTGTCAGATATTCTTGAGTGTGTTCTATTATTGTCCTGTGCACCTCTCTTAGTATCGCTCGTTTTGTCACTCTAATTGAAAATGTTCATTATGACACCGGCTCTCTTGGGTTTTGGGGTTATTCGACATGGAAAAGAAAGAAGAAAACTAGAACTGAGTGAATGAATCTTTCCGCCCCCTCAATTACAGGCTTTTCTATCAGCCCCCTGAAGCTTTCTACCCAAACAAATCAAACTTTTAAGAAGGGATGTGCAAAGGTACATATTTTCTAAACCAACTAGTCTGTGGGTTGTCTGAACAACTAGGCAGCTAATTGGTCTAAAAAATACGATCTATAATCTGTCTGTCTATTCATATCCATCTATCGTTTGATGTGGGATCTACTTTGTAATATTTTGTGACAGTTTCTGAGTGAAAATTGTTTCATAGAAACAGCAAGTAAGACCGAATCGAACACAATATTTTGAAGTACAAAAAAGACTGAAATCATATTTTGTTTTAAAATATACTCAAATATTCTTTTAATTACTAATTTGGAAAATCTTTAAAATAATTTGCATTCAATATTCTTATGTTACAGATCACAGTATCTGATCAAGGCATTCCTGTGAAGTCCACTACGGTCCGTGTCATCGTCAAAGTCCTGGATGAGAATGACAACAAACCACAGTTTATGGAGAAAGTCTACAAAATCAAACTCCCCGAGCGTGAAAAGCCAGAGAAAGAACGTGTACTCAGGAGAGATCCTGTGTACCGCGTTATCGCTTCAGATCGAGATGAAGGGCCAAACGCTGAGATTTCCTACAGCATCGAGGATGGAGACGAACAGGGAAAGTTCTTCATTGAGCCCAAAACTGGCATGGTTTCCTTTAAGAAGTTTTCTTCTGCTGGAGATTATGATATCTTAACGGTGAGGATGTTCACATTTTTATAGCACAAATTCCGTCAGTTTGTATTTGCACTTTTTGAAAGATTAGAAATGTGCAAATAGCAAGATATGAAAACCTGGATCCTTTTTATTGCGAATGTATTTGCTTACTAGCTTGAGTTTCAGCGTTTGAGGAGGCTGTTATTATGAGTTGGAATGTAGAAACCTGAGCTCTCAGATTTGACACACACTACATTTTTCCTGAATGTCCCTTTGATGGAAGTTTTACAAGTGTAAAGTGAACTTCCTGCGGGCCCATGTGGCCGGTAACATTTTTTGCCAGACCTCCCATTGTTTCATTGCCTAACATCTGTTGCTTTCCAAAGTCACAGTGACAGGTGTTCTGGTAGCATTCTGTATTTCCCACATTTAGTAGTATCTCTCCCTGATTGGGCTTGAAGTGTCTTTTTGGTATCGCTAACAGATTTGCTCAAATTATTATTTTTCCCAAACATATGAATTCCAAAGCCGTACTGTAATTTACATTGCAGTTGTATTATTTGATTTGACCTATTCTGTTCAACATTTATCCACCAGATTAAAGCAGTGGATAATGGTCGACCCCAGAAATCATCCACCTGCCGTCTACACATTGAATGGATCCCCAAGCCGGAGCCGAGCGAAGCCCCTCTGGCATTTGACGAGCCATTTTACTCCTTTTCTGTCATGGAGAGTGACCCCGTGGCACACATGGTCGGGGTCATCACTATGGAATCTGTGGAAACACCAGTCTGGTTTGAAATAACAGGTATGGTGGAAGTAGATTTTGAATTTGTGTTGGTTTGGACTTTACATGCTGAAGTTTGAATTCTAATGAGCGTCTTTGTTAGTTCACAGATTTTTAACAAACTAAGATGATGAAATCTTCTAATGAATCTCTTTGGAGGAAGTTTCTTTGCATGAAATAACCTCTAACTTTTTATATTCTCAATAGAACTGTCTTAATATGACTTAATAGTTTGCATCCTCTTCTTGTCCCTTTATCTTTTAACCAAACTTTCACTGACAACTTTTACTTTCTCTCTCTTCTCTACTTCTTATTTTTGAAATGGTTTGGTTTCTTCTGCTTCTCCTCTTGTTTGTCTCCTTGCTCCTCTTCTTGGCTTTGGAAGAGGACATGGCGGCTAAAGAGCTGTTTTACATCGTTCAGATGGCTTGCGACCTGAACTGCACTGCAGAAGGTATCTGCCACAGATCTCCTAATTCTACTGTGCGTGGCCATTATGAGATCTGTCATGTGCTTTTGTACTCATGCTGTTGTGACTGTTTCACATTGGGTGCACCAGGTCCCAAGTGTTGTTTCTCTTTCAAGTACTTATGAGCTGGCAATGAAAGAGTTACATTTAGATCATTAAATCAAAATTATTTGTCTCTGTCCACTTTATGAAATAAATAATAAAGAGTAGCTTGTTTTCCTTGCCAGCCTATGCACTTAGTGTTGTTCACTTTGAAGGCCCAGTGCTCTCACTTTCTTTCATGTATGGTGTTTTTATTATTGTTATATTTGTGTTTGGTCATATAATCAGAAATAAAACATACTGCTGGTGATTCAGTGGCTGCTGGCAAGATAAAAAAAAAAGAAAGATGCCTTATACATATGTATAATACAAATCAATGATAGCAAATGCACAGTGTTTTCATAGAAAATATATAAAGCATTAATTGGCAACACTGTTGGTGTTTTTAATGCCATGCGGTTATTCTAATCTCAAAATGCCAAATACAAATTTTTAAATGCTGGTTAAGTCTGTATAGGTCAAAGATGCTGCATATTTATTTGCATGTATTACTATAGTTAATCTATTACTTTATTCCAGCTTTTACATACAATATCTTGACTGCACCTCTTTTATTAGGAATTTTTTTTTATCATTTCTATATTGAAATGCATTTTTATGTCTTTTTGGGGACATAACTATTAGTTGTCTTTATATAAGAACTTAAAGAAAGCTTCATTGTATGAGTCCTAATTTAAAGGAAAAAAAATAATGTAATTCTTGAAAGGAAACCTTCAGTAGTCTGGCATAATCTTTAAATATAATTTCTTAAAATATGGTTAACAAACCTGCTTCACTACCTACCAATATTGTCAAATAATTGCGCAAAAAAATAATTCAAAATTATGTCAGTGAAATTATTTTTAAAACTACATTATTTAAATATTTTTCCTAATTTTTTATTGTGGACCCTGTATTATCTTGTGGGTTTTCACACACTAAGTGTCAGTCAGCCATTATTGTGGCATACACAAAAAGTGTGAAACAGTTGCTGCGAAACCACAAACGTGACACTCTGACTTTTGCCACCTGTGCCGTTCTCTTTCTCTCTCTCCTGTCTTCAATTGCCTAACTTGTGATGATGGCCGTCTAATTTCCTGTCCATTTTGGTTGTGGTGAAAACCTCCTCTCAACAGGTGGTAATTCTGACAGTCGATTTGAGGTGGGGAAGGCGAGTGGAACAGTGATTGTGGCCCAAGCGCTGGATGCAGAGCAGAAATCCCATTACAACCTGACGGTGGACGCAACAGATGGCACCAGATCTGTCAGCACGCAGGTAATTGAATTGCTAATGAAGTGTTTATGGAAGCAGAGCATTGTGTGTTCACCATAGAGGCCTGGGCTTCTTTTTTGAGATCCCTATGAGGGGCAAAAAATGGCTCAGATTTTTTTGTACATGTATATTTCGCTGGTGGCAAGGAAGGAAAAGCAACCCAAGCATTTCCAACTTTCCAAATTGAGTTTCCTTCTTTGGCTGCACTGGCACTGTAGGTCCCAAAGGTCTTTCCTGAATAAGCTACAGGATTAAAAAAGGAGCACAACATATTGCTATTAATTCGGATGTAGATGAGTCAAGCGAAAGTCATTAATCCTGTTTTACATGTTTTGCAATGATGTTTTGAGGTATATTTGTAGATACATTCTGTACAAGTTCTGTGTGTGCCAGGTTATAAGCTGTACTAGGAAAAAGGTTCAAACTAGCAAGCTTTAGCCAATTTTTCTGGTTAGATTCAGGTTAGCTATTGTAGACATTTTTTGATGTCTGAAGGTTCCCTAAATGTTCTTCAAATACCTCACGTCACAACATGCTGGCAGACATTCCTTGGCCTGCCGGTTGGAGAGTTTTTGGCCAGGGTTCCTGGAATCTTCCATTGTCTCATTCCTGGAGCGTGTGAGGAGGATGAAGCTGTCTGGCTCCCTGCATTTTCATTGTGCTTTCTCTGACAGTCTGACTGTCTTTCTTTAATTCAGTTATAAATTTATCCTATGAGAACATTAACCACACCTTTCAATAATGTGCAGTATGAAGTTGATTCTGCTAAGGTTTTTCGGACTTACTGTCAGTTTATTTCAGACTTTGCATTTGCTTTACTCAGCATATGGCAGAAAGTGTAAAACACATTGCCCCTGGTCGTCTCTACATCATTGATGCCATCTCCAAACAGGCTGCACTGTTTATGTGCTGATTTCCTGTTGGATCGTGAATAAATCTTTGCATATGGTCCTAAAGAGGTCACTGAAGAGTGGGGCTCTCTGGTTGAGGGCTGTGTTTGTGCCCTCACTCTCTCGAACAGAGCCTGCATTGTGACCAGCTCCCCAACCCCCCTCCCAGGATATGTTTAGGCAACATGTTGGAACTCTCTTGTGATCAAGCAGACCACTGTGGCCAATGATACCACCGCACACATACATTCCTGCATGCAAAATTAGCCGCCACGAATATCCTGAACCGGAGCCCCCATCTTCCAACTCTCCCTCCCTCTTATTGACAAAATTTCCAAACACAAAGACAGTGACATGACACTGTGAGTCTTTGCATTTCAGCTCTTCAAAGCATCTCTCGATCAGCCCTGCTTAGCTAAAGCCATTGTTTGGCCCTAAAACCTTTCAAGTCCAATCAGTTACAGTTGGCACATTCACAGGGCACAGAGTGCAGATTTCAGTGCCCTGCATCTGGCTTTGGCTGGACCTGCTTGTGCACAAGTTTTTGTGGTTTGTGACTCTTTTGTGTTGGGTTTATCATGTTGAGGTGGTAATAATCATTACTGCTTGAGGTTCAGTTGAATTTGTTGACCTATGAAGATTAAGGCTTTGATGAGAAACGTCAGCTGATCTACTCTTAGTCCCCTGTAACAAAAACTGATATTAAAGATTTTTGTAAACAACAGATGAGCTTTTGGGTGAATCTCAAAACAAATTTCGTTTTTATTTTACCCCATAATCAAAGGGAAAGAATAATCATTTATTATTTTGCACTGAAAAAAAAACATTAAGAAAATGTGGTCACACACTTAAGTTCTGGGACAAGTTCTCACTATTAACTAACTATTAACTATTACTTTTGCCTATAAACTCCTAATTTGCTGCTTATTAATAGTTAGTAAGCTAGTTGTTAAGTTTAGGAATGAGATCGGATCTTAATGGGATACTCCACCCCAAAATGAAAATTGTGTCATTAATCACTTACCCCATGTCGTTCCAAACCCCTAAAAGTTTTGTTTGTCTTCGGAACACAATTTAAGATATTTTGGATGAAAACCGTAAGGCTTGTGACTGTCCGATTGACTGCCAAGTAAATTACACTGTCAAGGTCCAGAAAAGTATGAAAGACATCGTCAGAATAGTCCATCTGCCATCAGTGGTTCAACCGTAACGTTATGAAGCAACGAGAATACTTTTTGTATGCGAAGAAAACTAAATTAAAGACTTTATTCAACAATTGGTCTCTTCTGTCTCTCCGCATCACCATAGTGCCATTTTGGAGAATAACCACTGAACGCAAGCAGCGTATGCTATTTTGTGTCAGCCGCGACACAAGGATACGTTTTCTACGTGTATTTACACTTTGATTTGAACGAAAACATTCAGTGGTTATTCTCCAAAATGGCACTACGGTGATTCGGAGAGACAGAGGAGACACATTTTTGAATAAAGTCTTTATTTTTGTTTTCTTCGCATACAAAAAGTATTCTCGTCGCTTCATAACATTTCGGTTGAACCACTGATGGCAGATGGACTATTCTGACGATGTCTTTCATACTTTTCTGGACTTTGACAGTGTAATTTACTTGGCAGTCAATGGGATAGTCACAAGCCTCTCGGTTTACATCCAAAATATCTTAAATTGTGTTCCGAAGACAAACTAAACTTTTAGGGGTTTGGAACGACATGGGGGTAAGTAATTAATGACAACATTTTCATTTTGGGGTGGAGTATCCCATTAAGGGATCTAAAGTATGGTCATGCAGAATAAGGCATTAATGTGGGCTTTGTAAGTGCTAATAAACAGCCAATATGCTAGTAATATGCATGTTAATAGGCAACTATTTAATCGAGAGAATTGGTCCTTAAAATTACATAAAATGTATTTATTTGACTTTTCATTACTATAATGTCTGTAGATCATTCATAATATATGAGATATGTTTTGCATGATTCAGATTCTTTGACATAAGAGGAAAGAGAATTTTCATAAAAATAATGTGAAAATCATATTCTTTTTGCTAAATATTAAATATAATTATAATAAAAATGTAATTCAGAATATAATTTTTATTTTATTTTTTTTCCCTTTTTTGTGGTGAAACATGACCTGGACATTGTCTTCTAACTGATACTATAAATAAAACCCCTATTAAATTTCAGAGTCTATAGCTTGTTTTAACATTTTCCAGGTGTCTTAGTACTGGTTTAACTGTACTAGACTAGGAAAGACAGTTTGTTTTTCCTTTGCAGGCGTCCTCGGTACATTAGACCACCCTGACAGGAGTTTTCAGTCTGTTGGCTAATTAGTAATGATAAAAGTCAGTTTATACTCAACACTTTCAAATACCTCTGTAAATGCTCAGGCAGGTGCTAGAAAGAAAACGAGGCCAAACGAACAAATCAGGCTAATATTTGCCCTTAAAATATTAAAGAGACGATATTAAGCGCACGCCAGCAAGCTTTCATCTCGCCTTACAAAGCAAGAGAACGATGGATGGGTAATATATAACCTGCTTGAAACTTGTTTCATCTTTGATTTCTTCATTGACCAACTAATGAGTTTGGAACCTTGTTGTATTTGGATGCAGCTGTGTTCCAAAACAAGTGCTTTTCTCATAGCCAAAGTCAATTTTAGCATGTGATCCAGCGAGTATATCTGCAACAATATCATGCGCCAGTTGTGTTTGAAAGAAAACAGTCTTAAACAGATTACAGCTGACAAGGAAGGGATTTTATTTATCTGTATGAATTTGTTACCCTTGCAACCCGACTAACACACATTTTTAATCACAAATCTGCATTCAGGCTCTGCTTTTGCCTTTGTATGTCTAGTGACCCTCTCCTGAAGCGATTAGCTCTCTCCTCCTCGTGGAGCCGGCCGCATATCTTTGTTTAAATCAAAGTCATGTGTATTCCACATGGGCTTGCCAGACCTTCTCCATGCTCTATTTTCATTATTTTTGCCATTTACCTCCACACTTTTGTATCTCTCTTTCACCCCAATCTCAACAAAAGCACCACATTTCAGACAGGCAATGAGGGATTATGATTATTTTGGAAGGGAAGAAAAGAATGCAGAGGGGGAGGAAAATGTATGCTGGGTGTAATCCTATTTTAGGCCTTCTGAGAGAATGTGTGGCAACTCTATGTGTTTGTGACTGTGCCAAAGTCATTTTCCCCAAGACATGTCAAATACAAAGAAATATGGGGATCTGGGTGAACAGTGCCCATTTCTGCCTGTGATTTCTTTTGAGGGAGTGCTCTTGAGAACAATATCCATCATTGAGTTTTTCCTTAGACGAAAATGACTGGATAACTCAAGGCTGTACTTACATTTGCGAGTGAAAATTACTCTGTGAATGTGAACTTTTTTTTGTTGTAACATTGTAAATGATTTTACTGTGACTTTTGGTCAATTTAACGCATCCTTACTGAATAAAAGCATCATTTTTGTAGAAAAAAGTACTGACCCCAAACTTTCAGAACAATAACTGTGTACACCACAAATACCTGTCCCTGGCACAATAAAGATGTTAAATCCAATAAATAGCGTGCATGTAATTGCATAATAGAGTTTTCAAGGTATGTGCATGCTTGTGATTCAGCAACACCCTGCTTGAGACAAACAAGGCATTGAGGCGGCCACGAGGGTCAAGTATTAGAGATCGGCTGAGCAAATTGGATTACAGCTGCAAAACGAAACAATTTTCAAAGAGCCTAAAATGTGACCAATTTTAAAAAGTCTGAAGTCTAAAATTACATCTCTTGCTTAAAGTAGCACTGGTATGTTCCATGTTGCTGTTGTTGAGATGTTTTAAGTGGTAGGAGTTTATAGCAGGAATTTCTCTTCAATAATAGGCTGCTAGCTTCTGGAATAGCCCCCCTCAGGGATCATCTGATGTATGTGTATATATATCACTTTCACACATAAAGAGCTCATATTCATATAGTGTTACAGTCCTTTCTGCTTTTCTCGCTCTCTTGCTCTCACTTCTTGTGCCTCACTTCTATTCCTCATCTTTCTCCTTTTCTGTCTTTCACACGCACATCCTTCTTTATCTGTCATTCACACTCTGATCTTTTCCTTTAATCACTCCCTCACTCACCACTTCCTCTCGAATCCCTCCATCTGTCCTTCTTTCTGTGTGTGTGTTAGACATTAGTGGAGCTCCTTTGAGTTTTATCCCATACATTTACATTACAGCCATGAAGCCTGTCGTGCTGATTCTCAAGCATCATTGAAAGCAGGCAGAATATAAACAAATACAATCTACTAGCTTCATCTATTTACACCGGTGCTTTCAGTTGACTGTCTGTGCTGGCATGAATTACAAAAAAAAGCCAGGCTGCCAGGGCCAGGTGGCACGTCTCCAGGGTAAGGTGTGAGAAAGAAGGCAAGAGAAGAGAGAAAAAAAGGCAAAGATTTCTCTTCCCAACCTTTGGCATTCAATAAAACCAAACATGTTCTTCAGGGACAGGGGACGTGCTGATGCTGTCGGGACAAGTGTGAGTGTTGCCTACACTCACACCCACATGGGCTAATCTTGAGCTGAGAGCAAGTGGCAGCTAACAGCTAAGATTTTTTTTAATGTTATTTTTGGCTGTATTTGTCTAACATCGTTGAGAAATATATGTTCCAAAGAGAAATAAGGATTTGACAGGAATTATGTTTTATGAAGTATTCAAAACTATTACAAAAGATAATAGTGAATCAGCATAATTTTAAGACATCAAAAATATATAATTTTATTCAAAAAATTTTATATTTAAGTTTGGGGTTGGTAAAAAGAAATTAATACTTTTATTCCACAAGGATGCATTAAATTGATCAAAAGTGACAGTCAAGGCTTTTACGTTGTTTAAAAAATCTATTTTAAAACTCTTTTCAACTGTGATGTTAATAAGAAATGATTCATCAGCACCAAATCGTCATATTAGAATGATTTCTGAAGAATCATGTGACACTGAAAATTCAGCTTTGTCATCATAGAAATAAATTGCATTTTAAAAACATTAAAACACGTACACACTGGGTATTTCTCAGAGTGACCGCACTGAGAAATGCCCGAGGAAATGCTTATTTACAAGACTTCTGTAATTGAGCCCTCAGAAATGTATTGAATATTATCAGTTAGGATTATGTGTGCATGTGTAATATATTGATAAGGTTTTAATGTATTTATATTTATTGACATATGACTGTAGCACAGTCACTCATCCCAAATTTACGGTATATGAGAATCTCAGATTTGTAAATATGATGCAAATACGATGCAAATAAAGTATAAGGCTTTGTAGATGATGCGCTTTTTATGGATGTTGCTAGGTAATTCATTCAGTTATAACTCTGTGATATACCAGAACTGTCCCACATATTCCAACTTTCTCTCCTGACCAGTCACTTGAAAACATATGTGACTAGTCTAGTGGGACACATATGTGGCCAATCCATTTGTGAGGATTCTGGTTTGAATCAGTGGATCCACAGAGCTGTATGCCTTTGTTTGTTTTATGTAAAACAGCGCCCTCTGATGGCTGGCATGCATGTCTAACTTTAACGATCCAATCCATTTCACCTTCTTTGTTCTCCATTCTGGCTTTATATAAGCATGTCTGATTGTATGAAGACAGATTATTTAAGCACGCACTCATTTTACACATCAATTCTAACTTTGGTTGTGTTGAGTGTGGAGCTTCCTGTCCACTCACTAATCCTCACATAGAATGCAAATAAATGGTTGACTTTAATTTTGTTAAATGTTAAATGTGTGAACACAGTTGATGTGTGTTTTTTTTTTGTCTCAGAATGACAGCTCATAAATGATATTACTGCATTAGCCTATGTACAAGAAGCGTGTGTATTGAGAATTGCTAAAAAGTCAAAACACTCATAAGTATGCAGTGGAATAACCTTGGCATTTCACTCACTGTAGGACTTTTAAACTGTTAATGAAACACCTTCTTTGTTCTCCATTCTGGCTTTATATAAGCATGTCTGATTGTATGAAGACAGATTATTTAAGCACGCACTCATTTTACACATCAATTCTAACTTTGGTTGTGTTGAGTGTGGAGCTTCCTGTCCACTCACTAATCCTCACATAGAATGCAAATAAATGGTTGACTTTAATTTTGTTAAATGTTAAATGTGTGAACACAGTTGATGTGTGTTTTTTTTTTGTCTCAGAATGACAGCTCATAAATGATATTACTGCATTAGCCTATGTACAAGAAGCGTGTGTATTGAGAATTGCTAAAAAGTCAAAACACTCATAAGTATGCAGTGGAATAACCTTGGCATTTCACTCACTGTAGGACTTTTAAACTGACAAGGAAACATTAAACATCCTTGTGCATTCACGATACAATAATTTGTAACCAAAGAAAATGTCAACATGCAGTGTTATCAGAACCAGCCACAACTCATTTGAATTCATGCTGGGTTTTTAACATTCATTGCTGAATGTAAGTCATAAGTAACCAGGCATTTAAATTATTACAGGTTTGATCTGGTTAATATCAAAGCAGCTGTGATAAGAGTTCTAAACCCCTGAGGTCTAAGATGGTAAACATAAGTTCAATGTCATGATGTGCAATTTTTAGTAATCGACTAGTCTATGTATAGTCTGAACAACTAGTAGTTGACTAATATGTGTTAAAAGAAGTGCTTAATATATGAATTATGTGAACTAAACATTGATCAGACAGCGCAGCAATATATTTAATGTGGTAACTGACAGATATTCAGACAACTATAACACTTCATTCAACTTTGCGCTCAACCATCACAGTCCTCACAAACAAACAGAGACCTGCAGATTATGCATAACCTTGCTCACAGCAGGTTATTTGAAGTCTACTAGTAGTTGTCTAGAAATATATTGTTTAAAGCAATTCATTTGTTACAAAAGCGGTGCTTTGATGGCTCTGGTGGTGGAGCTTTAAAGAGAATGAATTTAAACACACAGCTTACCTGTAAGGGTTTACCTGAGCTGACAGGCACATAGCTGTGAGGTTTTGTCTTTTAATTCATCCTTTTGAAATAATTAGCAGTAATGCGTAACAAAATATAGATAAACTCACTAGTCAACCCCATTAATCACTAGATGGTTATTAAACTGGCCTGTCCTTACTGACCTGCTGATCTTTCTCTCTATTAGGGGTGCTCCGATCAGGATTTTTGAGGCCGATCACAGAAAGCAGTATCTACCGATCACCGATACCGATCTTTTTAAAGCCTTCTTTTTATCATTTATAACTGTTTATAGTGATACTCCAATCAGGATTTTTAGACATTTATTCAGGGCCTGAATTTCATTTTTGAAAATGGGGGGAATTTCCCTCTTAGGTGACTCTTGTGAGAGGGGAAGCAGCTTTCACACAGGAGTCCGCTACTGATCTGTGGCTGTTTACCACAAATACAACATTTATCCATTATTTTGATTTCAAATCCAAACATTGTCACTGAAAATGCTTTTTCAGCATTGCAATTCTTTTTTACACAGTACAGTAATACAATCTTTCACAGACATGTTTAAACACATTAAATATGGGGAAGTCATGGCCTAATGGTTAGAGAGTCGGACTCGTAACCCAAAGGTTGCGGGTTCGAGTCTCATACCAGCAGGGATTATAGGTGGGGGGAGTGAATGTACAGCGCTCTCTCCCACCTTCAATACCTTCAATACCATGACTGAGGTGCCCTTGAGCAAGGCACTGAACCCCCAACTGCTCCCCGGACGCCGCAGCATAAATGGCTGCCCACTGCTCTGGGTGTGTGTTCACGGTGTGTGCGTGTGTTCACTGCTGTGTGTGTGCACTTTGGATGGGTTAAATGCAGAGCACTAGTTCCAAGTATGGGTCACCATACTTGGCCACATGTCATGTCACTTTCACTTTTTTTCACTTTCATAATCCTGTTCCACACTAAGGCACATTCATCACAGAGTGGACAGATGGAGCGAAGACATGTGAGGCCTTCCTTGCAGATGAGGAGAGTTACTGCACAGCTGCTGATAAGTTGGTTCAGATTTCCCACTGCTACGGCTTTGACGGCTGGCTCATTAACATAGAAAATGTGCTGAGTGTGAGTAACCAGGCCGTATCTGATTAGATAGAGGTGTATGTGGTCATACTGTGTAGTACTTTACCCCAAATTTCACTCACTCCTCAGGAGACTGCAGTGAAGAACACTGGACCCTTTCTGCGCTACCTCACAGACCAGATGCATGAGCACGTTCCAGGCAGTGTGGTGATCTGGTATGACAGCGTGCTGAAAAACGGCACGCTCGATTGGCAGAACAAACTCAATGATGACAACAGGCAAGTGATGGTCTTGAGGGATTACGGAAGGGCAGCTTCAGGTCTGTGAGATTTATACAATAGATTTTATGCAACTTGTGCCATCAGCTTCCTTTTGTCATCCTATCAGAATCTTTTTTGATGCCTGTGATGGAATATTCACTAACTACAACTGGACAGAGCAGAGTCTGGAGTGGATGAAGTCCTACTCTGCTGCTCAGGGCCGCTTTGCTGACATCTATGTTGGTATTGATGTGTTTGCAAGAGGGAAGGTGGTTGGAGGGAAATTTGAGACCAATAAGGTTAGTGAAGGTTTAGTTAGAGGATATATTAGAGAGCAATTTTAATATGAGAACACTACCATTCAAAAGTCTGGGATTAGTAATGTGTTTAAATTGTTTTTGAAAGAGGTCTCTTATACTCATCAAGGCTGGATTTATTTGATCAAAAAATACAGTAATATAGTAATATTGTAAAATATTATTCCAGTTTTAAAAACTGGTTTCTATTGTACTATATTTTAAAATTAAATTTATTCCTTTGATGCAAAGCTGAATTTTCAGCATCATTACTCTAGCCTTCAGTGTTACATGATCCTTCAGAAATCTAATATGTTGATTTGCTGCTCAAGAAATATGTCTTCTTATTATCAATGTTGAAAACAGTTATATTATTTTATCATATTTTTATGGAAACTGTGATACACTTTTTCAGGTTTCTTTGATGAATAGAAAGTTCAAAAGCAAGTTCAACATTATTTATTTGAAATGGAAATCTTTTGTTATATTATAAATGTGTCTTTACTGTCGTTTTTGATTAATTTAATGCATCTTTGCTGAATAAAAATATTAATAAAAAAAAAAACTGAGCAGTATTTCACATCCATAATATCTTATTGGTTTTTGACTGAGTTCAAGTCTCTTTTTGTATCCTTATTAGGCTCTGAATATGATTAGGAAGTATGAATTTTCAACAGCCATCTTTGCTCCTGGCTGGGTGTACGAATACCACGAAAAGGCAGATTTCCGCCAAAACCAGGACAAGTAAGCTCTTTAGAGCACTCCACTTGGACTGCTCATAGTTTGCTCACTGTTTTGTGATGGAAAGTGTTTGTAAGCGTGCGCACACACACACACAAGCAAACGTCCTAGTCACCAATGTATTTTCTAATCACTCATTTCAGGTTTTGGAATTTGCTGTCTGCTTTTGTTTATATCCACCGGCCCTCGTACAGTCTTCCATTCATCTCCTCATTCTGTCAGGGCTTTGGGAAGAGCATGTACTGGAGGGGACAGGTATGCTGCACACAATCACAGTCTCGCTAAGATTCCCTTTAATACCTGTGTGACTCATCCTAAGACATCTGGAGTACACAAATATTCATCTCAAGAAGTCACAAAAGCCCAATAAAATAAAAAGTTTTCATGGTTTCTTCTTAAGATTATTTTCAGGCCTTGACCCTCAGAAGCAAGCAGTCTTAGTTATGGCTAGAAAGCAGTATCTGCCGATACCGATCACCGATCTTTTTAAAAGCCTTCGTTTTTATCATGTTTATAGGTTTATAGTGATACTCCAATCAGGATTTTTAGACATTTATTCAGGGCCTGAATTTCATTTTTGAAAATGGTCCCTCTTAGATTTCAAATCCAAACATTGTCACTGAAAATGCTTTTTCAGCATTGCAATTCTTTCTTTTTTTTACACAGTACAGTAATACAATCTTTCACAGACATGTTTAAACACATTAAATATGGGGAAGTCATGGCCTAATGGTTAGAGAGTCGGACTCGTAACCCAAAGGTTGCGGGTTCGAGTCTCATACCAGCAGGGATTATAGGTGGGGGGAGTGAATGTACAGCGCTCTCTCCCACCTTCAATACCTTCAATACCATGACTGAGGTGCCCTTGAGCAAGGCACTGAATCCCCAACTGCTCCCCGGACGCCGCAGCATAAATGGCTGCCCACTGCTCCGGGTGTGTGTTCACGGTGCCATCTATTATTGCCTTGTTTATCTAAAAGTGCTCTTTCCCTTTAAACCTAGCCAAAAAGCCATGTGTTGACTGTGAAACACAGTAGACTTTAATAATATGCATTTATAGTGTAATTACTACATTTTCGTGTCAATCCATGTTCATATTTACTTTTAAAAAATGCGCTGTTACTTTAATTCAGCGCAGCAAAAAAAGACTCGGTGCGGAAACGATCTCTGCAACGCTCTTAGAGCGCACTGCCGTACAGCAACCGTGTGCAGTGTGCGCGCTTTATTAATCTGTTAACATGAGTGTGGGAAAAAATACGCACCACATTCGCACTGCAAACGGAGTAATGTGAACCTGGCATTATGTGTGTGCGCTGCGAGTGTGCATGAGCGCATGGTCTCCAGGAGAGCGCGCGAGCGCTGAATGGTTAAATACTGGCAAGAATTAAAAAGTAATGCAATTTATAAACTTTAGTGATGATGTGACACTGCCTCGATTGTGCAAGTGATAATTCCTGTGTCAACTGTGCAGCGTGCAGCTCGCTTATAGATAGACGCAATGTGGTGATTTGAAGACATTTGCGTATTTTGAGAGAGAGCGCGCGCATTGATTCACTCACGCTGTTTGTGAAATTACGTCTCACAGGTTTTCAAATTACTTTGTTATTTAATTAAGAAATATGAAATTAAATAACGCTGCATGACGTGCCAAACCTTTTCACAGCAGGCTTGAGATCGTTTCAGCTTGAGATCGTTTTTTTGAGATCGGCCTTTTTAGATCAATCATCCCAAAGCGATTATCGGCCGATAGTGATCGGTAGCCGATCAATCATAGCACCCCAACTCTCTATTTTGTAAATTAACAGTTATGTTCCAGAGTTTTGAAAAGTAGGTTGTATGTGGGTGTTTTAATGGATCTTTTAAGAGCATTGATACATTTAGGACATATTTATTCTCTTGCTCGGTTTCTTTTACCCCACTTACAGTGATTGTTGTTAGCCAGATATTTTATGTTTAGTGTATGTAATGGTTTTAACCATTCATTATAGAATACCAATCATGTTGTCATAGTAATACCAGTACACTTAAAATTTAACCTGAAACGTACTTGCTATTATTATTCATTAAAATAAATTGTCCCACTGTAACTAGATCATTAAACAAGACCTTATTTATTTACTTATTGTTTGTTTTTACAGGTTCTTATTAAAGTGATCGACACCAACAATCATCGCCCCCAGTTCTCTAAGTCTAAGTATGACGTGAATGTCCCTGAAGATACCCCACCTGACACAGAGGTGTTACAGATTACAGCTACAGACCAGGATGAGAAGAACAAGCTAGCCTACACCCTCCTCAGTAGCACTGACCCATTCAGTCTACGCAAGTTCAGACTAGATCCTGGAACTGGGGTGTTGTACACTGCAGAGAGACTAGACCATGAAACCATGCACCAACATACACTAACTGTTATGGTAAGATCATGTGGTCTGCTACCTGCTTTTCAGCATCATCTGTCAAATTGATTTTTCTGTCTAATTTAAAAATTTTAGCCAGTCAGCCATCCTTCACCATAAACTATCCTGGCAGGTTGTTTTCTCTTTAATTCAATCGACACGGAGGTGAATCTCCTGAATGTAAAGTGTTTTATTTGTTTCACATAAGCTTGTTACTAAAGTGTTGAAATTACTGAAGAATTGCTTTTTATATAGCCCTTCCTCTTCCCTCCACACTGCAGGTACGAGATCAGGACATTCCTGTGAAGCGGAACCTGGTGCGTGTGATTGTAAATGTGCAGGACACCAATGACAATGCACCTTGGTTCTCTGGTTCACCATATGTGGGCCGTGTGTTTGAGTCTGCTGCAATTGGCTCTGCAGTGCTTCACGTCTCTGCTCTTGACAAAGACAAAGGGCAGAATGCTGAGATCATCTATAGCATTGAGTCAGGTAATCCATCTGATCGATTTGATTGCTCTTGACTTTTATCCAATTTGTCCAGGAAACTACATATTGTATACATATGATGTATGAAATGTCTGAACACTGGAAAGCCAATAGTAATTAGAAACAGACAAAGCTTACAAGTCTATCCTGTCTTTATTTCTTTGTTTTAACATGGGATATTGCTAAGAGATCCACAGGAGTGGCCCATGCTGGCCACTTAGAGTTAAAAGCGTGGGAGATATTGAATGTGGCAGCCAAGGGTCCTGCAGTCCACCAAACTTGAGAGTTTTGAAAGCAGAGCATAGCACAGATTAGTTTTGTCACGGTACCAACGTTTCAGTATTCGGGACCAATACCAGTGAAAATCCACGGTTCTCGGTACCAATTTTGGTACCAAAGCAAAACACAAAAACATGCTAATTAAAAAATTTGACTATACTTTCATTTAATCCAAACTGTGTACATATTTAATTTTAAAGGGCTTTTAAAACCTTCGAGAGTTATTCAGCCAAGAATAACAACTAAGTTAGCTAAAAAAAAAAAAGCCCTGAACTGCTTTTCTGACTGATGTGACACAAACAATGTTAACCATTTGTACATTCTCTAACACGCATATTTTAGATTCACAATTCATTTAAAATCCTCTGGTGTGTAAAAATATCATCATGTCCTCCTGTTTTTTTTACCCAAATAAAAGTTATAGGAGTATTAAATAGTAATGCTCATTATATTAGCGTTAGCCGCGCTTATG